AGATGACATGATGTGAATTGGAGCTATAGAAATAAACTGAATAGAAATTATAGAGCGATATTTGCTTCAACTCTAGAAGGACAAACATTAAAAACAGTCCATGAGATGACCGCTGCGTTCCTATTGGCTGATCAGGAGATCCACAGAGTGAGATATTTAGCACGGGTTATCTCAGGTCAGATGCTAACGCGCTAACAGCCATCTCTCAGTAAGGCAGACTTAGAGCCACGACTATAGATTCCTCCCTGATTCTCCTAAAGTCGTCATGGTTAATCAGCAATGGCCCAAGAAACACACAGGGCAGGTTAAAGGTCACATCTACAAGTTGAACTCCTCCTGGCCAGCAGGTGGCGGTCTCGTTCAGTAACCGTAGCAACCCTGTGTAGAATCATGGCTTCTGAGCTTCCTTTAAAGTCAGACCAATCTTCCTCTTTTTGCTTCTTCTTTGTTTGAACCTGAGTAATTTAACTATCCTGGATCTACTAGAAACAGCTGATGCCACTTCAACCTACTGTTCCTTTGGTGTGCATGTTGCCATGGTAACCTACATATTTAGGACCTGTCAAAATGTGTGAAACATAAACTGTTAAGTCATATTCAGCACCACTGCAGACCTCCTGTTGATGTTCTTATCTGAGAACGTCAGCAGGAACCAGGAGGCCTGCATGCTGCCTGCTTAACACAACGACCCAGTGGGCTGGATATGGACCCGTTCTGGTCCTAAAGACCCGGACGGAGCCCTGCTGCAGGGAAAGCATCTGTTCTAGCTGCACGGAACACGTGAAGACGGGGAAATCAATCGGCTGGATACTAAAAAGTTTGGGTTTCTAACTACAGCAAAAGGTGAAGAAAGACGCCGATCCGGGCGGTTCTGAGACCTTTGCTCCAGGGTCAGGATCATGTGGTCTGGACGGTTCTCTGCTCCCTCCAGGAAGTCCATCTCCTCCTGCAGCTTGGCCTGGAGCTTCTCTCCCTGGCACAGCAGGTCCTGGAGGAGCAGGTACTCGTCCACGGCCTCCTCCACCTGCGGAAGGACCGCCAGCATCTCGTCTCGGTTCTTGAACCAGTTCACCTGGAAGCAGAGCAGACAGAACGTGCTGTATTGCTGGTCCCAGTCAGAACCTTCTCTGTAGGCAGGTACGGCCCGTTTGGGTCGGCTCACCTTGATCTCAGCCACCCTGGAGGAAAACAGCGAGCGAGTAATGTCCCTCTCCATCTCCCTCTTGCTTTTCTTGTTGTCGGCCTGCTGGCCGCCACCTCCATACACGGCGCCGGCGAAGCCCACCTCCCCGCCGGCGGTCCAGTCCACCAGAGGATCATAGACGAAGGCCTCCAACAGGGTTAGGAGGGTCTCTCTGCCCCGACGCATGATCTGGACCACCTGCAAACACAGAGCTGAGCTCAGAGGCGCCGCAGGCGGCAGGAAGGGGCAGGAAGGCGAGACGTGACGGAGCAGGAACCTGTTCACAGGACAGCCTGAAGATCCCCTCCACCCCCGTGGCTCCCAGGGCGCTCTCTATGTTGTGGGTCATCCTGAAGGGAACCTTCTCCGGCACCCGCAGGCTCTTCCCTAGAAATGGCAGCAGTGATTCAGATCCACCAGGCCACGCTTCCCCTCAGACCATCATCATCATCATCATCCTCCGAGTCAGACTGACCTTTTTCGAAGCACACGTTGTAGTCGATGTGGACCACCTCCCCGGTGGTCATGTCGATCAGCACGTTGTCCAGGTGACGGTCGCCCAGGCCGATGATGTAGCCCACCATGGACATGACGGCCGTGGATCTGGCGTACGACTGCAGGACACACCATCATCATCATCAGTTAAAATGCTTTTTATTCCAGAGCTGCTGGATCTCCTGCGTTAGCAGCAGCGCTAACTGTGAAAACATCACTGCTGCTAACAGCTACCAGACAAAATGTCTAAAAACGAATCGATGATCTGAAAAACGTTGCAGCTGACCTGATCAGTAGCATCACATCAGCGGACGTTCTTCCTCTTTGTTTCAATCAATCTGCTCGTTATTAATTTATCAAATCAGACGGTGGATGAGAACAAAGCTGTGATTTTTCTCATTATGTCTGAAACTAAAACTTTCTCCTTGTCCGTCTGCAGAAGTTGATTAATTAACTGGTTAGGATATAAAGTAATGATCTGATGAAGCTCCTCCACCCAGATTCACCTCCTGCTCAGGTTTATCATTTTAGATCAAGTAGGTTTATTGTTTTATAGTTCCTAAAAAAGTTAAAATCAATCCACCGGACTTTGTTTCCAAGTTTGAAGACGTTTCTCTTCCATCCAGGAAGCTTTTTCAATTTAAACACCAGTATATTTATATGAATGCCAACAACAAAAATCATTATAAAAACACTTTATAAAAACAAAACTTCATTTCATGTCCAGGTTTATTGTTTGTCTATAAATCTTGCCCTTCTGAGGTTTACTGAAGGTAAATCTATGTTCTTCATGGTCCAATATTGAGTCAGAAACCTAAAAAATTAATGAACCAGTTTAATAATGGAGAAGCTATTAGTCAGCTTAATATTTTTCTATATATACATTTTTTTTATTTTCAGAGAATGTGTTTATTTAACTGCAACTATGCAAATAATGAACAAACATGTAGAAAAAGTCGACTAGATTCTATTTTCAATGTGAATCCCAGATCGTTCATTCTTCTTTGCCTTTTCTACAAAGTGCTTTAAATCAGTCCTAGCTGTCTTTATCCATGCTGGATCAGATCCTGACCTTTGAAAAAGGAGGCAGGGAGGCAGTATAAAGCCTTAGCCTCGCTGCAGGCAGTTAGCCTCGCTGCAGGCAGTTAGCCTCGCTGCAGGCAGTTAGCCTCGCTGCAGGCAGTTAGCCTCGCTGCAGGCTGTTGGCCTCGCTGCAGGCAGTTAGCCTCGCTGCAGGCAGTTAGCCTCGCTGCAGGCAGTTAGCCTCGCTGCAGGCAGTTAGCCTCGCTGCAGGCAGTTAGCCCCGCTGCAGGCAGTTAGCCTAGCCTTGGAGCTAAACCAGGTCCTGGAAAAGGACGTTTCTTGCACCATTTCGCTCTCTCTTTCTCTCCGATGCGTCTCCAACCCCCGCAAAACAACTGTGCTGTGGTGAGAGATGGGGAGTAAATACACTTCCTGTCAGCTCGGGTCGCACCTCTGGCGCGCTCCTCTCCTATACTTCTGTATTACAGAGGAGATACCGCGCATGTCCAACTTTTAACGAGAGTCAATGGGCAAAGGTTTCCGACGAAAAATTTAACGACGCTATACTCGTCATTAAAGATTAAATATTTATCTAAAAAAAATATATAGATATATTTCGCAATATTTTAAATTTTAATTTAAAATTATATTATAAAAAATAATACTAGATTTTATGACTTAATCAGGGTCATTGGGTGTGGGGCGGCACCCTCTATTGGCCGGCTGCCACTGGCGAAACGTCTTCAAACATGGAAACAAAGTCCAGTGGATTGTTTTATGACTTTTTTGGAATGACTCTGACCTGGATGACTGAGAATCTGCACCAGAACAGTCCGTTAATCTGCATTAATATCAAATCCTAAAACTAAAACATCTGGTTTGTGTTGGTAGCTCCCATCATGCACCTGGGTGACTCGCCACCACTCGCTGGGTGTGGTGCAGGAACACCAGAGCTCCTTAGCCAGCAGGTTGGAGGGCGTGGCTTCCATCAGCTCCTTCAGCACCTCCTTCATCACACTGAGGGGCCAGTCCCGACGGCTGACCTCCAGACTCAGGCCCACGGCCTTCAGAGCCGGCCCGATGCGGCTGTAGTAGAGCTCGCTGGGCCGCGGCACCGGGGGGACAGGCTGCGGCTGGGGGAACGAGTCCTGGGCCTGGACGGAGGAACGTCAGAGGAAGCACAAACATTAGCAGAGCTCTGTCTCTGGACAGCAGGTGGTAGATGAAGTTCCAGCTCAGGCTGACGGTCTTTGGACCTGAGCCAGGTTCTGGATGGAGCCGCTCACCTTCTGAGCCTGCAGCACCGCCTCCCTCTGCTGCCAGCGCTTGTAGAGTCCAAAGAGTGGAGTGGCGCCGTCCACCCACTGGATCAGTCCGGATCGGGTTCCCAGGGGGGTGACGGAGTAGTGGCGAGCGTGGAAACGCGGCTGCTCCTGCTGGTTGATCTTGGTGAACATGGTGTTGACGATGGACAGGAACTGCATGATGCGCTCATCCAGATGCAGATCCTCCAGACCTGAAACCCGTTCAGAAGAGCTGAATGAAAAACTATCTCAGTGGAAACCAGGAACTACTGATCCACTTTTCCTCAATTTAACCCATTTAACGGGAAACTTCAAAACTGCTTAGCTTGGCTGCTAACAGGCTAACTCCTTTCCTACATCCCCCACAATGCAATGCAGATTAATCTAAATAAAGTTAATTAAACATGTCAGTGTGGAGATCAGAGCATCCTCCTGGCTTCCATATAAACCTGGTGGAGTCAGACCCTTTCCATGGTGTAATGCTCTGAGTGCCTGCAGCGTCCAGCCCGCTGACGCTCCACTTTAGGGGACCTGGTGTCCTTTAGGGGACCCGCTGTGTTTTTAGGGGACCCGCTGTGT